AGAAGGCTGGTGTTCAAACCCACCAGCCACTCCTTGGAAGGAAGGTTGGGCAATCTACTTCCATAGTGATACTGCCTCAGAAACCCAAGGAGGAGTCGCTATGACTCAGATACGACTCAACGGCAGTGGCATCACTTCTGGCTTCTGTGGGGTTCAAAGTTTCCCTGAAAGCCCTAGAGTCTCTTGAGGAGGTTGGTGACCCTTTGTTTTTTCGTTTACTGAAGGAACTATTGTTATTATGTGCTGTCTAGTTGATTTCAACACATGACAACCTATCTGACAGAGCAGAAGTGCCCCATAGGGTTTTCTCGGCAGATTGCCAGGTCTTTCACCTGCAGAGCTGCTGGGAGGATCTGAACTGTCGACATTTCAGTTGGTAGCCAAGCACTTGACCGTTGTGCCACCAAGGTTCCTTTCTACAGGAACTATAGTGACAGTGATAAAGCTCTTCTCAGCTCAACAGTGACTTCTGTTGTGATTAGGTATTAAATCTTGTCCATGAAAGGTAACAAGTTGACATTCAATCCAAATGGGATGGAACTAACAAGTGGTTACTGAAACCTAAGAGAAAAATGGCATGGATACTGTACCAAGGGAATGGCAGAAGTTCACATTCATGCCTGTGACCTGGGTACTTTTTTCATCATAATTTATAGGTATTAAAAATCACATGCCAGAGCATGGAACTGTACAATATTATGAACAGAACTGAACATATGACAGGCAGATAATGATAAGGTTAGTCACATTTGACTCCTTAGGGATATAGAGCCCATGTTTTTTTTTTTTCTTGGTAAAGAATACACTCAGAGCTATTTACATATACTTAAAGTGCTTTAGAACCATGTGATCAATATTTATTCACTATAATAACTCAAGTTAAGGGTAATTACATGTAACTTAACATGTAACTGGAGAGTAATTGTTAGAGTAAATGCTTATGAAATGGGTTTTGAGAATATGACAGATGTCTGTTTCTCTAGTGTTATAAGATGCCGTCGAGTAAATTTCAACTTGTTGTTGTTGTTGTGTGCGTCGAGTTGGACTTGACTCATAGCGACCCCTCCTTGGGTTTCCGAGGCAGTATCACTATGGAAGTAGATTGCCCCATCTTCCTTCCGAGGAGTGACTGGTGGGTTTGAACCGTCAGCCTTCTGGTCAGCAGTCAAGTGCTTTAGGCACTATACTACCAGAGTAAGGTGCTGTCAAGTCAATTTCAACTCATAGTGATCCCATAAATGTTTTTTTATTTTAATTAAAAAAAAACCCACAAAAAACTCAGATGAAAAACAAACTGGTAGGAGAAAATATGGTTATACAAACTTAAATAAAATATTTAAAAGTGATTGAAATATTCCTAGATTTTTCCTTAGTCAAATATAAATATATATCTCTGCTTTTAATATTTCAAATCCCCTATGTGTACTGACAGAAGCTCTGGTACCGTAGTGCCTAAGGCACTTGACTGTTAACAAGAAGGCTGGTGGTTCAAACTCACCAGCCACTCCTTAAAAGGAAGATGGGGCAATCTACTTCCATAGTGATACTGCCTCGGAAACCCAAGGAGGGGTTGCTATGAGTCAGGTCTGACTTGACAGCACATAACAATAACACATGTGTACTGACAGAATGATAAGGGAGCTTCTAGCTTTAGTAAATCCAGGCATTTGGAAAAACTGGCTGATCTTTCTGAGAAAATTCCCTATGTTGCATAACTTTATGGCATTTTGTAGGGTCCATACATAATTCTTATTTCTACAGAAATCCATCAACCCTTGAAAATGAATCTCAGCCATCTAAATATCAAAACAAGACGTTTCTGCAAATATTAGTGGTAGTGATTTTCCATAGAATAAGACTGAGCAGACTACCCTAAGTTCAGTAATGCTTCTGGATGTTTTCCCTTATCTAAGCCCAATAATTCCATGTTAATCTTACCAACCATTCATGGAGATTGGCTTAATTTCATTATATTGTACATATACAAAATAATAGCTATTATATGTCCACAATACATTATCATATTTGTGTTCAATAAAATAATAGCTCAATAACAAGTGACATTTCATTATTCAAATGATCTTATAACATCAACACCAATGTTAATAAAAATCTGCAGGCTGAATTCAATGGAATTCATTTGAAGTTTCCCAGTTGTCAAAGAAAGCCTTTCAAAGATAAATGGACATTCTCTATTTTGTTAAATTTTATTTTTTACCTGCTGAAGGCTATGGCAAGGCCATAGCAAAAGCATCCTATGAGCAGGGGCAAGAAAGGCAGAGATGAAGCAGGTAGGTGAGTGTACACATCGTGTGCTATGAGCACTTCCCACTACTGCAGACTGAAGATTCTTGGCTTCAACCTTCTTCTGGATTTAGCAAAGCAAAGTAAAAGCAAATTGAAATGTAGACAGATGTTTAAAAGTTCCATTTCCACTTAAAGTTGATGTTTTTCCTCCACGTAATATTTTGCAATTTAAAAGAAAGGAAATTAATCCTGTCAAGATTTTTCAACATGGAGATTGTAGGTTCTTTTAGTATTGAGTTTTAACAGACAGTACGTTGCTTTCTCTATTTGTAGGCCATTAGGAGAGATAATAATAGTAATAAGCCATAGTGACTCTGTAAAAGCAAAGACATACAAAAAGGTTTTTTTTTTTTTTTTTGGCCAAAACACATTTTAACAAATAGGGGCTTGCTTTGTACATACATGCCATAGTTGAAGACAAATTTAGATTGTTATATTTAGGAAATATTTATTTTCATTAATTAGGACTTTACTTATGTTTACATGTATGTATATGTGTGAGACAGAGAGAGACAAAGAGGGATTGAGATTACTTTTCAGCATAAGACTGTAATTGCCTGAGAATTCTCTAGTTAGGTAAAATACAGGTTGAGATGTTTAGTCTTCTTCCCAGGAGCTATAATCAAAGTATACTTTATACATTCACAGGAAACTGATGGAGATTAACACTTCATGAACTATTAGAACATCTGTTTAAACGGCTGTTTTAATTGAGAAAAATGTAAACATGAGTCTAAATTTACAAATATGCTGGTTATTCTTCCTTGTCTTTGAGGTTGAGTTGAAGTTTCTGTAGATTAGAGAAAAGCCTGAGTCTGGCAAAATTCAAAGCATTACATACATGCAGATCAAGTAATATGATACAGTCAGTTCACAATTATCTTAATAATTATTTACAGGGCCTTCTGTTGCTTTACCTCCTTGCTCACATGCAAGTGACCTGAGTTGCTCCATCTTCCTGATCAAACTGTCCGTCATCTAACTCCCGTAGGACACTGTCGTTGCTGCTGAACCCGGAGAAGCTGCTGTGCTGTGTAGACCTCCCCTCCTTCAACCAACATTCTCTAGAAGCAGAGAGGGAGCACTCCTCAGGTGCAGGCCTACTCTCTGTAGGTTGTGATGTCGTAGTGTCTAATCCAACACTCCTACTGGTTACTTTGTTTTTGTCTTCACCTTTTATATGGCGGCTGCCTTTCTTCTGAAACAGAAGAGATAGGCAACCAGAAGTTAAAAAGATGGGTGCTTTCCTGCACCTCTGCCCTACCACATGCTGTTTCCATAGGCTTTCCCTCCTTCTCTTCAAAACCCTGCTCATTCTTCAAAGAACCTCCTCATTTGCCCTTCTCCCATATAGAAATGAGCTCCTCTCTCTGGGTTTCACAGCCCTTTGCAGGTGACAGGCAGATAGGTCTCTTCATTGCCAGACTGGCGGTGGCAGTTTGGTCTGGGCCCTCAATGGCATCTCTGAGGAGAGAAATCTGGTGAAGTCAGATTTCTTATAATGTCAACACCAATGTTAATAAAAATCTGTAGGCTGAATGCAATGGTATAGTCAGTTGGAATTCATTTGAAGGTTTCCACATTTCAAAGCCAACTTTTCAGAGATAAATGGAGAACAAAACCAAAATAACCATACCCACTGCCATGCAGTCAATTCCAACTCATAGCAACCCAATTGGACAGAGTAGAACTACCCCATAGGGTTTCCAAGGCTGTAAATCTTTACGGAAGCAGACTGCCACATCTTTCTCCCATAGAGCAGCTGGTAGGTTTGAACCACCAAACTTTTGGTTAGCAGCCAAACCAGTATGCTTTAACCACTGTGCTACCAGAGCTCCTTAGTGGGGGACAAAGCAGGCTGTTTTGTTTAAGTACATTAAAGATTCCATTTTTCTTTGTGGTTTTATTTGGGATCTAAACAGTAGAAAAAGTGGTTCTTTGGCAACTTTATGGTCATTTTATACAGGAATAATTTCAAAAGTCACGCATAATTCAAACCAAGTTTATTTTTAACTAATGCCTGGTACGTCTTTCTGGGTCAAACAAACTCTTTTCCTCATTGAAGCTGCCATAAATGTTTCACAATTTCACAGGCTTATTCTTCAAACTATCTGATAAGCTGGACAGTTTTGCTAATAAATATTTACCAAGAGCTGACAGTGTCCTTGGTGCAGTTCAGAATAAAAGAGGACATGGTCTCTGCCAAGGAAACTTAAATTCAAATAAGATGTATCAGTCAATAAAAGGGAAGTCCAAGGGGAAGAATTATAGTAGCTGAACATGTGGATGTCCAGATTTCTGATGCAACTTCCTTACAAGGGCTTATATAATGCTGATAACAGGACATATATTAGATTTTGATCATACACTCTAAGGCATGTAAAACTGAATGAGAATTGAAAGACAAAAAAGGCTGGTGATTTCCCAGCTTTAAAAAGTTTCTGTACTGAAAGTTCATGTATGAGCTCCTAGTTGGGAAGTAGGATTACATTTTCCCATAGAAAATATCATTTATAAAAGTCAGATGCCTTCAAGCTCAATTGGCATAACATACTACACAAAACAGTGTTCTACCTCCTACTTTGGCAAGTAGCGACTGGAATCTTAAAAGCTTGCAAGCAGCCATCTAGATGCAACAATGAATGGGTCTTTCCTCATCCAGAGGAAAGAAGAATGAAGAAAACCAAAGATTCATGGAAAGAATTAGTCCTAGTGACTGGTACACCATGCGATCCACAGCCTATACAACTATGAGACCAGAAGAACTAGATGGTGCCTGGCTCCCACTGTCAACCACTTGGAGGGGGATCTATGTAGGAGATCCTGGATAGAGAGGGAGAACAATATGGAAAAAAATTAAAAATCATTTGGAGAGAAAAAAAAAAAAAGGGGGACCAGGTTTGCTGGTCTGATAGAGCTGGGTGGAACCACTGAGTCTATGGCCCCTAGCTGCCCTTCAGGTCTGGAATTGAACCCATACCTGTGGCTTCCAGCCATACAAAAGACAGGCATATGAGTTGAACATGTATCTGAGGTAGACACACTCCTTGAAGAGAACAATCATGGGAGAAAGAAGGGCTGTTTATGCACAGGGAGATAGTTCAGCGTGTGGGAGTGCATGGAGGGATGGATACAGGGAAGAGGTAACTGGGAGGAAGTGGGAGGGAGTTGTTGTATTGGGGTAAATTGTAGTTAATGTCATGAAACAACGTGTGTGTGAACTGCTGTATGGAAAGTGAATTTGCTCTGTAAGCTTTCACCCAAATCACAATTAAAAAAAAAAAAAAAGGCTAGACTTACTGGACCAAAAGAGATTAGAAGAACCCTCAACTATTACCCTAAGATGTGTTTTGAACATGGAATTGAAGCTATATCTGTGGGTTACCATTCAGCCAAATAACAGATTGGCTTACAAAAGAAATACTTACAAAATCATCCATGAGTAATGTGCTTTCTCAAGCAGTGAACTATACGAGACCAAATGGACAACATTTACCCCAAAATAAAGGTGAGAAGACAAGGAGGGGAAAGGAAGCTAGATCAAAAGAAACAGTACAGAATGGAAATACTGACAAAGTTGACACTTTCTAAAAACTGTAACCAACAGCATGGGACTATCTGTATAAAAACTGTTAAAGGCGAACCTAATTTGCTGTGTAAACTTTCACCTGAA